TTATTGAAGTTGATAGCACATATGGCTGGGATTGAATTTATGCATTTGAACATTAGGTCCTTGGTTGCTCATCTTGATCAGCTGCGGGACTTTGTACTTAGTATGAATTATGATTGTGTATGTCTGACTGAAACGTGGTTGAATGGTAACATACAGGATGATTGTGTTGCATTGCAAAACTATACTTTGTTCAGAAGAGACCGGGGTACACGCGGAGGAGGGGTAGCAATATACGTTAAAAAATGCTATACCGCTACAGTATTACATAATATTAATTCTGCCAATACGGAACAACTATGGTTGAATTTTACTAAAGACAATTTTAATGTAGCTTTGGGAGTAGTGTACCGACCTCCTGGGTTTCCCCTTCCCGAGTTCATAAGTGTTATGGAAGATTGTTATAGTACAATAACCATGTTATTCAGCGAGATGGTATGCTGTGGTGATTTCAACTGTGATCTGTTTCAACCCTCCTCCTCTAACCGTCTACTTAATTTATTTGAATCTTTTGGCTTGCGTCAAGTTGTAGACGCACCAACGAGAGTGAGACGCACTTCTTCCTCTCTGTTGGATTTATTTGTGGTGAGTAGTGCAGTTCAAGTAGGTTCTTCAGAAATCATTGATAACAGTAATATTACGTCTGATCATAGTGTCATCACACTATCGATCACCACAAGGGTCAAAATAGACAGAACTAAAATAATTGTGACCAGAAAGTTCAAAGACATAAAACAAGAACATTTTTTAAATGACCTACATAGCATGCCATTTTCTGAAATATTATATGTAAATGATGTAAATATAAAATTAGAGATTTTGAATGGTTTGCTTTTAGAACTGTTTGATAAGCATGCGCCGGTTATCACATTTAGGTCTGGGAATTGGAGGAGGCGCAATACCCCATGGGTAACTGATAATATTAAATTAATGATGAAGCTACGAGATAGAGCACTTCATAAGTTTAAACGTACTAAAAGTCAAGCTGACTTCCTGTATTATAAACAGTTGAGAAACTTTACAACTGCGGCAATTAAACGCGAAAAAAGGGCTTACTTGGAGTTTATTATCAGTCGAAACAAATCTACCAAAACACTTTATAGGGAACTAGATAAACTAAATATCTACAGCAGAAGTAACAAAACTGATACCCTGCCCGAGAGCCTGCTTCAGCTGGACTCGATTAATAGGTATTTTGTGGAATCGTTTCAAACAACTGACGCACCCGACAATGCCACTCTTACTCAGTTGTCTAATAATGTTAGAAACAATGTCAGTAATTTTAAATTTGTATTTGCTACTGAGGAGGAGGTGCTTTCTGCAATGCAGACTATCAAGTCTGGAGCTATCGGTGCCGATGGGATTAGTATTGAGATGCTGCTGAGGTGCTCTTCGCATATTGTCAAATACATAACTCACATAATAAATTATTCTATGGAGGTCAGTACTTTTCCAAATGAATGGAAAATCGGTCATATTATACCTTTACCTAAAATTAAAAAACCAATCGAAATCAAGGATCTCCGACCAATCAGCATCTTACCCGCGCTTTCGAAGATTTTTGAAAAAGTTTTATGTAAGCAAATTAAAGCACATTTAAATGACAATTCAATTATTCCGTCAAAGCAGTCCGGGTTCAGGCAAAATTACGGTTGCGCCACGGCACTATTAACAATTGTTGATGATATTTTGGCAGCAAATGATAACGATATGGTTACCACACTTGTTCTATTAGACTATTCGAAGGCCTTTGATAGAATTAACCACCAATTGATGGTTGCAATTCTTCACAATATTGGATTTCAGCCAGACGCCTTGAACTTGATGAAGAGCTACCTCTGTGATAGAATTCAGCTGGTTAAATACAACCAGAACTATTCCATTCCTCTCAGATGCATTAGCGGGGTCCCACAAGGTTCAATCTTAGGGCCTCTTTTATTTATAATATATACGTCATCCTTTCATAATTGCCTAAAGTATACTAAAAGTCATTTCTATGCAGACGACACCCAAATATATCTATCATGCCATAAAGATGAAATATTGCAATCTAATTATCGTATCAACTACGATTTAAATTCGTTATATGAGTTGTCACATAATTATTGTTTATCGTTAAATCCTTCAAAGTCTCGCGTTATGCTTTTCGGTCGAAAAAATACTCGACAAAAATGCATTTCGGAAATTAAAATATGTATAAATAACGAGTACATTATGTATACGGATGTTACCAAGAATCTTGGGCTGTATCTGGATTCGGAGTTGCGTTTTGATGTACATGTTAATGATATTATTAAAAATGCGTATGCGGGATTGAGGCTTATATACTGCAGTCGCAGTATGTTAAACTATAAAACTAAAAGTATGCTCTGCGATGCATTAGTGTTATCGCACATGAACTATTGCGATGTAGTGTATGGGCCCTGTTTGACTGAGTACAACCGAACCAGATTACAAAGAGTTCAGAATGCCTGCGTTAGGTTGGTTTGTGACCTGCGACGACGAGACCATGTCACGGGGTGTTTACATTCACTTGGGTGGTTAAATACTAGACAGCGGCGAACTTTACATTACTCTCGATTGTGTCTAGGAATTGTAAAAAATAGTACCCCAACTTACTTACATAATAAAATTCATTACCGGAGAGAAATTCATAATAGAAATACGCGCGGTAAAGTACTTGCTGTCACTCCGATGCATAGGACAATGCAATTTCGAGGATCCTATACATATGTTGCGTCAAAGGTTATTAATTTCATGTTACAGAATGCATTGGACTCTGTGCTTAAAGTCAAAATATTTTTAAGGGAGAACATTACGTTTTCCATTAAAATATAAAGTCATGTTGGATATTATTGCTTGGATCAAACACCATCGCGATCGTTGTATGAGATACGTCATTATTATAATTTGCTGTTTTATTTACTTATAGTTATAATTTTGTTATAAACTGAGCTGAGCACGTTCTTTGTTTTGTGTTATAATTGTAAGTTGGGTGGCAGGGAAGACCAGTTCTGCAGGGGTTTGCTTACCTGCACAACTGATTGCTGACCCTTTCTGCTAGTGTTATTGTTATTTATTTTACGTAAAATATGTAATTTCATTGTGTACCTACACTGCAGAATAAATCTATTATTATTATTAAGTTTAATTTTGATCTTTGAGTTGTGTGGCCTTTCAGGGCTAACAAGGCCCTGAATTAGCAAAGCAGTAGGGAGTAGGCATTATACGAATTTAGATTTCCTAACTCAAAAATCGGGATTTCGCACTCTAATTTTTTTATTGTCATCTCAGAATTTGAATATTATTTGTGCCTTAATGCATAAATACATCATATTGTGTGGTCTAAACTCATGCCTCATGAATCTTGAAGGTGCTCTATGGAGTTCACGTATTATCTATATTTATGAACCTTTTCATTGAATTCGATATCTCATTACTCATTAGAAACAAATTTTATTTTGCAAAGTGTACGTATTCCGCGTACCACGTATCTTCCCTTAAATCAATCAGGGAGTAATTAGTCCCATATTAGGACTCACGTAGTTACGTGAGAGACGACAATCTTAAATTTACATGCAATAAATGTTACACGAATAGCTGTAGCGAAACAAAAGATTTTCCTACAAAAACTTAAATCCTATTCTAAATCCGGCGTAAAAGTTAAAATACTTTCAGCAAAGCTTCTTTCATAAAGTATTACCTCACCTCCGTTCCTACACAGGTAATGGCGAGGGGTGCAGGGTGCGAAGAGGGTATGTCGGATCGATACAGCGGCCGCCGTTTCTGCATGAATATTTGATATCCCTGCCACCCTCACCCTGAACCGGGTCGACCTCTTACAAATGCCAAAATGCATTCGATGACATACCTACCTATTTCATTAAAAACTAAACAAATCAGTCCTTTACGCTTGTCTAATATTCCAATTAAACGTAACACTTCGATCAAAACTTTGGAATAGGAGTTACGTTATTACTTCGTTTCCCAATTAGACCAATGTCCCTGTCTGTGTAACCTGACAAAACTGTCCAAGAGGAACGATACTCGGAAAAAATACCTACACTAGGTTTCCTGTATTGTAATGAAATACTTCGTCAGACCACTAGAAAAATGGCACTGTATAAATTATGGGAAGTAATCAAAATTGTGTAAAGATTGTATCTGAAAGCCGTACTTGTACATACGTGTTGATATAAGATCCTATAACAGCTATGAAGTACGAGGCCAATGAGCCCTATCCAAACCAGTCAATTTTAATTTCAGTGTAAGCATAAAGTGTCAAGTTTATTTGCATGTGTTACGTGTAAATAAGTATAGTTATTTGTACAACTAGTTTTGAAAGTGATACTTTTTTTCATGAATTTGCAGTTTGATTAATGAGGGCGAAGCCCGAGTTAATCAAGCAAATTCATGGAAAAAATGATCAAAGTCCTCGTGTGAGATCGAAGGGACTTCAGCGCATTTTTGTGTGGCAGATCAGTGTTTTATTAGCCAATATTGACTCCACCATCAATAAGATCTTGCCGAAAGCTACCACGTTCACTTTGTCGGTACCATTTTCTCACTTACCGTGCACTCGCAATTCGCGTTTGAAGTTTTGACTCCACCATCAGTAAGATCTCGTCGGGGGTTACCATATTTCCTTTGTCGACACCCACTTCTGATCACCCGCAACAATTCGGATTTGAAGTTTCGACTCCACCATCAGTAAGATCTCGTCGGGGGTTACCACATTCCCTTTGTCGATACAGAGTTCCGACGTCCCGTTCATTCGTAATTCACATTTTGG